TGGGCAGGACAAAAATTCAGGAAGAACTTTCAATGCCCAGACAAGTATGTTGTTTTGTTTTCCCAAGCAGGGCTGATCAAGGTTTGAACAAACAAGCACTCACACCTACAGACGAGGGAGGGCCGGAAGCAGCACCAGGTGTGTGACAGTGAACACAAGACACCTGGGTTCCAGACAGGCACAGACTGTGTCCCTGGCCAGCCCATGGCCTTGTGCTCACTAAGTGCTGTTCCATTGGGTTCTTGGGTCACTTTTCACAAACAATAAGAGCTCGTTTATCACTTTACATTGAGGAAAACCTAAAGAAACATGTATTGACTATTTATTTAAGTGAGAATGGGGCGTGGGGTATCCCAAATTACAGCCTGTTGTAACAGCCTGCTTTTTTGCCATGTAAAGACTGTGTTAGGTCTCCTTCTATAATCAGGACATAGAGTCAGTTTCAAGTAAAATTAAACACTGCTTAGTCACACAATCTTCTATTGGATTTCCTGCTTATTTGATGGTTCCTAAATAGGAGCGATCATTATTTGTCAAATCTTTCACATCAGTGCTTTTTAAAAGAAGGATCTTAAATAATACATCATGCATCACTTTGCCTATTTCTCCCAAATAGCATTATGGTCAGGTTGCAGCACTATTGATCTCCAAGTATTCAGTATCTGTCTTTTCTCCAAGGGCAGGCTCTTAAAGGTGATGGGGATAAAAGTCATTCCGAACTCATTAGCTCATCTAGAGTCAGCTGCCAATCTTCGGAACAAGTTAAAACTCTGTCAGAGAGTTGGTTAGTAAACTGTCACTTCAGTTAATGCAGAAAAACATTGTCAATGTTTTTCTGGTCATGAACTAATCAAGTATTTTGTCTCCCAAGATTCTTGAGATCTGCATGAAGTCTGAGCATTTCCTAGCTCTCAGCTCAGGGTGCGAGCAGGGAGAAGGAAGGTTGGTGGGAAGCCTAGAGGGGTGTAGACTTCCATACTATTTACTGTAACTAGTCCCAAAGGACAGCCCAAATCCACATAAGCGGTGTCTCAAACTCTTTCAGTTCCATGCCAGTTTCTGTCCATAATCTAGGCCTAGACAATCTCAATAAGTTAAGACCCAATCATCACCACTATGATAAATACAAAGCAAAGTGTCATTACAGGGTCACTGTATTTTATCTTTAAGAGGGAGCAAAGTAAAATAAGGGTATAATCAAAATCACAGATTCTAGTCAATGGAGAGGTGAATGTGTGTTCCAGTTTTGTCATTTACTGTCTAACTTCAGAAAAAGTTACTCAAACTGTTGGAATCTTACTTGTCTTCTTTGCAAAATGGAAATGCCTCCTCCACCAGCCTCACAGGGTTGTTCCAGGTAATTGAGATTGTGTTCAGTTTTACCTCAGTGTGTGGCACCCAATAAGTCCCCAGTGAATAGCAGCCATTGTGCCTACCTTGTTACACCAAAGAAAAGCTCCCTATTAGTCAGAAATTAAATGCTGCTGTCTGAAAAGAAACTTGGAAAATCAACCCAATTAGATTCTTGCCCAGTCAGAACTCAAGGGCCTTTGGCTAAAACTCAAGTCTTGGCCTGTCACAGTGACTGCCCATTCTCAGTTTAAAATTACACTGTCCTCTGGCCAACCATGAGGCATAAACTCATCTTCAACCTTCCACTCCGCCTGCTGAACAAAAGTAACCAGATCAGGTTCTTCTGGTTGGTTTCCCTTTCCCGCCAGCTGTCAGTTTTTAAAAAAGAAAACACTCCAGTAGGCAGGCTGGGGGTGTACTCTACACACCCCAAGCCGGGGTGCATTTATTGTATCAGCAGTTGTTTCCCCCATGGTGGTTCCACTTCTTAAATTGACTCACTTCTCCTGATATAGAGAACCTCAGAGTTCTCCCTTGAAGAGGGAGAGAGAACAGAACAAGAAATAAAAATAGAAGGAAGTTATAAAAATCAAAAGTGAAATAAACAGGACAGTTAAATAAGCAGAGACAACCATAACCAAGAAAGCTGGAGACTTGGCAAAGGAGAAGACACCATGTGAAGAGACACTCTCCTCACTCAGATATGTCATAGTTTCCTGACAGAAATTAGCTTTATCTCGTGGGTAGCTAGTCAGTCAGTCCAGTTACAAGGGAGGGCACAGGAGACCACAGTCACTCTGACCTGGTGGAGCTGACTTGACAAAATTTCCCTCAAGGGTCTCTTCAGAAACATCAGAGGTGAGACTGTTGTCTTCCGCCTCCTCCGCCACAGACTATCAGGTGTCCCCAACTCCTGGAGAATACTATCCTGGGGATCATATACTGCTGCTTCAACTGCAGTCTATGAACATCAAGTAATGACATTAGTCAGGCCTATTAATATTAACAGCCTCCTGCTCCCTCAGAGCTTATGTTGCATGGACCCCTTATGTACACAAGAGAGATTACTCCATCTTGGGTTGCAAGGCCGAGAGACCGGTTGGAGATTAATTTGTGCAAAAACATATTCAAGTAGACCCATCTAATTCCAATGGCGGTGCTAAGTCGACTCTCACAAATTCACTGCAAAGTGTTTCTTTTAAAGGACATACTTGCGCTTTGCTTTTCCTCAATTTTTAAATTACTTCACAATAGATTTTTTCGATTTATTTTAAAACAGAACTTGGTCCTTTGAAAATGGCTTAGTATTGGCCTTGTGTTGGCAACCGGGGCTGAGTGATAGATACTAGGAGGATCATTATCTAATTCTCCACTTTTGTGTATTTTGACTTTTCCATAATCGAAGATTGTTCTTTTTTAAACTGGCTCTGTGGAAAGTTGGGTAGGTGAGTCAATACTAATTGCTGAAGCAAGCTCCAGCTCTCCAGGGAAGTGTGCACTGCAGCATCCCTGATGGCCTCTTGCTAAGAGCAGCCCCATGGCTCCTCCCACCTGCAGCCTCACCACTTGTCCTGCTGTCTCACTGTCCCCAGGCCAAAGCCTGGTGGCAGTCAATTTTACAGGGTCAGAACTATTCAGTCACTTCCTGACCAAGAGCACTTTTCCCCGCCTCGACCCCATCCCTGAGCAGGCGCTCCTGTGTGTGGGAGATTTCACAAGCGACGCTGTCGTGCAAGGCTGGGCTTGGTCCCACCCGCACTTCCGCACCTCCTGGGTGTCTAACTGGAAGTGTTCAGCTAGAAAGATCAGGTAGGGCAGGATGATTCCTTCAAATTCCCCGGGGGTGTAAGAGGTAGCATCCAGGTAAACAGTTCTAGTCTTATCTGTGCCTCCATTTATCATCAATGACTTTTATGATATCATGGCTTCCCCCCACCTATTTCTCCCCCCAGGTAGTTTACCCACTGAGGTGCAATTTCCTTGCTAAAAAAGAGGAAATCAGAGACTGAAAAAAGTGGGTGAACAGGTCACACAGATCTTTCCTGCTGCTACCTGTCACTCCCAAAAGACAAACACAGGGCGCCATGTGGAGAGGAGAGGAAGAGGAGAGGCAGAGGATGGCAGGGCAGGGGAAGGGGCTGGCAGTGCTGCATAACATGCTTCCTTGATAAAGGTGGGAAGCCCCCAAGGGAAAGGTACCCTTCAAGTCATTAAGTTTTCCTTGTAACTGCAAGACAGGCTCCTCGGAAAGGCTGGCAGCTTCTATAGCTTACCCATTTGGTGTTGAGTCCATGGTGAAAACAGAGCCTGGGTTCCAGCATCCTGAAGGTAAAGAGCATGACAGCCTCACCTCGCTATAGATGATGAGGAAGGAAGCATCTTTTCCCTCTCAAGAGAGAAACAAAAAACAGAAAACAAACAAAAAACAAAGCATCTAAGTGCATGTGAAGGAGACAAATAACAAGGCATATTCAAATGTAAACCACAGGATTCTGCCCACCTCTGCCTCACGGAAGCCAAGCCACAGGGCAGACAGTACATGAAAATAAAGCAGTGTAAGTTATATACATTCCTTAGCATCAAGATAAAGCTCTTTAAATAAAATCAATATGTTCATCTATTAGCCCGTGGGTTTGTGGCATCATCTTAATTGACGTAAAACAAAACAAAGAATATCAAGAATTTTTAAATGAAGCAAAGAAAATGGGTATCCACAGATTAGGGGATGAGGGCTGAATTGACTAGCCAAAACCAACTTGCGAGCCACACTACTTTCAACTCAAAAGCTTAAAAATATACACAAACAACCTAAAAAGCAAAGTGACTCCTGCAAGTAAATGCCTAGAGTAATACAAGGGGTCATACAGATGTGGCTGGGTGAAAGCAGGTTCCTGAGTCCCACCAGCCACAGAGCCACAACTCAGTGACCCGTCAGAGCTGACAGCACTTCTGGGCTTTTCCTGGGTGGGAGAATGACAGGAGCAGAACTCAAAATTGACCAGCTTCATTCAATGAAAGGAGAACAGAGGCCAAAAGCTTACTACCTCTTACGTGAAAATTAAGTTTTAAAAACTGTACAACTAATATCCAGGGTGACTTTATTTCATGGAAAGAAAGAAACAAAAACCCAACAACATGATTTTCCTAGACACCACACAGTGACTGGCACTTTTCATTTCTGTTATCACATTACACAAAGAAAGAAAGAAGAAATCTACAGACCAAAACACTCTTTCCACCCCCTTTAAATTAGCAGATTTAAATGACAACTTGAAGCAATAATTTTGTTACACATTGATTTAAACTATTTACAAATTAAATTGCACTTATAAGGATAGCAACATTTCTATTATGATTGTAGATTACTTTGCTTTATTGTGGCTTTATATCTTGATATAAAACTTTTAAAGCTTTCTTCAATAAAAATCATACTTTTGCAGTAAATAATTAATTTGCCCACTGAATTTCTGATCAGCTTTCTCTTTATGTGCTTTTCAGCTCTATTTTATGTTACAAATGGCACATACTTCCAAGTGGGTAACAAGCAGACACTGCACTCATTATGAGAGACTCATTCATGAAAAGTTAAAGGGTAAGAAGTAAAATATCAGCAATCTAATCCTTTGGTTCATTGTTTTTTTTTTTTGTTTTTTGTTTTTTTAAAAAACCAATCAATACAACTTACAAATCAGTGATAACTCTTCTTTTTGGTTAAAAACAAATGCGACAGGTAGATTACTGATTAAAATCCAACACTGCTTGAAAAATACCACATTCCTAGTCTCCTCTCACTGCTCAAGGATGCTATTGTCCACAATTATTTGACATGACACAGAATACAGTAAGGCACAAGTGGATGTTACAAATAAAAACAAATACTTTAGGACTTGGTTCTGCACGAGTACTAAGATATGTACCGTTCTCAAGATAAAATAACAACAACAAAAAAGAAATACATATATTTTGTTATGAAATACCTATACAAAATTTTTAAATTTACACCATCTGAGCTGCCAAAAAGGGTTTAAAAAAGTATCAATTTTTTCCCAATACATAAAACTATCTCTCATCAGTAGGCCCAAGAGAACTTGGGTTCAAAATGTCCCAGCACTTTATGGGAAGGAGGAAGATAAACTTTCCCCTTCCTGCGCTCCCTGACGCCAACGTAAGACAAAAAAACAAAGGTCAGATGTTTACAGTAGTGTATTCTACTTCTCACAAACAACTAATATTTTAAAAGAAAAAAAAAAAAACACGCCGCTGGGAGAGCACTGGGGTGGTGACTGGCTGACGGAGTAGAGTAAGGCACTTCCTTGGAGAGAGCAGCATCCCACATGCCACAGAGGCAGTGACTTGCAGGTTCTGGCCAAGAGGAAGGACTGCCTGAGGCTCCTCAGAAGCAGACGGGACCATCTCAACAGCAGGGGAAGACACAGGAGGTAAAACTTGGAGGTGAATTCTACACAGAAGTGGTTACTCGGTCAATGGCATGGTTGACCTCGTTTTTGTTGGAATCCAGTCCTTTAGCAGCATTCATGTCATTGCGCAAATTCTCCACTGTCTTTTTCATGTTCTTTAGCTCCCCGGGGTGTGGAGTAGCTCGCCTCAGAAGTGTTCTCTAAAAACAAAGTGGAGTGAGTGCTTGGATTTTGTTCCATTACTCTTGCAAATATACAGCTTCTGCTTCCAGGCTGTAGCATTCCAACACACATCTTACCTTTTCAGAGATTCTGAGCTAGAGCAGGTAGAGAAGCTTTCTATGGAGCTATGCCCACTTATCAAGTGCTTACTAGTAATTAATGGAAAATGAAAAGTGTTACATATAACTCACCAAGATGGGATTATTTTCAGAATTCTTACTGTAAATTAAAAATAAAAGTTCTGGGTTTCCCTAGTGGCACAGGGGTTAAAGTCTCATTGCTATCAAGCTATTGCCAGCCACTGTGACAGGAGTGAGATTAGATCCCCCACCAGGGAGCTAACCCACATGATGCAGCAGACCTCTCCTGATTTGTCCACTGCTCCCCTCAGCAATCTATCTCAGTAGATCTGCATATTATACTCCCTATTCTGTCTCTGGTGAATTCTCTTACCATCTCTGGCCTGTACCCCAGTTCTTCTAGGCATAAATCAATAAAAATAAATCTTTTTTTTAAAGTTCCATGAATAGCAAGAAAAAAAATTGAAACATTTATAAGGTTTAATTGTAGGGTATGGAGGAAGAAAAATATAAAAGGGGAGACAAATTCCAAATTAAACTCACTATAATGTTCTACTATTACCCAAAATGGTTCTGGCTTCTGTCAACCCTGGAGGCATGGGAGTTGAAGGGAAAAGGAAGCTAAGAAGAAGGACTTCTTTTCTCATTGTGCTAATGTGTGTACTATTTATATGACCAACTGAGGAGAGTTGGCATTTTTCTAACAAAGATCACAGTGCTGGAAGTGAAGTAATCGGGTATGGGCATTTTTTTTTTTAATTACAGTTCAAATGTTACATTCAATTTAGCTTATGAAATATATTTATATGCCACGTCCAGAAATTTTACACAGAGCTAACACAGGTTAGCAAAAGACTACAAGAGTACTAGAGAGACAAGGAAGGAACTGGTGAAATAATCACATTGTAACAAGTCCTGAGGTAAGCATTAAAGGATCATCTATGTTGAGTGGACTTTGTCAAGCCTGGTTCCTACGTTGTACTTTAGCATGACAAATGGAAAAAATCTTATTTGGTAACAAGTGGAATAACAGACTCCCAGCAATATTTTAAAAACACCCTTTCCTCTAAGGAATGCAGGTACTCCCTCCAAGCTCAATTTACGGGAATCTCAGAGTAGGGGGTTTAAAAAATGAAAGACAATTTGTAGGAAAAGTTCAAGTCTGGACTAACTCCTGGAGTTGCTGCATGGCTGAGAGATAGTTGAAAGGCTGAACAATCTGAAGTTTCTGAGTGAAATCTTGCAGGGTAATCCAACTATAATCCCACACATTTTGCACAAAGGGGAAAGTTACATGAAGAGAGTAGTTGGGGACAACAGAAGTCAAGCTGAGTCACACCACAAAATGAGAATGGAACTCATGTGACACAGATATAAATGGGTGGTGAGGAGGGACAGGAAGCAACATCATTTTACTGGAAACAAAAAAAAATTCCTATTAGTTCTAAGGAAACAGCAGGGTCAGGAGAGCAAATGATCAGAAAGAAAAAAAAAGGAGCACCATAAATGACTCAAACAAAAGCCCATAAGTTCCATCTGCCTAGTGTACATCTGGTGAGTCCGGACCTAGCGTTATATCTTCTAAAAATCATCCCTTAAATGCTTAAGGCAAAATGGGGAACAGACTATCTGGAAACAAAAGAAATCCTTATTAGGTGCCATGTTCAATCCTTGGAGGACTTTTAATTTGGATCTCCATGAAGACCAAGAATGCTCATTTCATACCGTTTCATTGTCTTCTTCATCTTTTTCATCTTCCAAAAATCGGATTGCACTGACTCTGTTTACGGCACGCTCACTCCAGGCCTCGTCGGAGACATCGTTCACCAAGTTCTCCAGTGCTCCACAACGAGGCAGGTTCTCTGTGGTGACAAAGACCCCATCAGCAGGGAGCTGGGGCTCCTGTGACTGGCAACTGCTCAGCAGTATTAGCAATCTGATACCAGCATGAGTGTTTTTGAAACATAATTTACAAAACAAAGATACAATGATTCAAAACAACTTACTGGCTTAAAAAGAGTTTTACCAGTGATGTTCAATACTAATCCTCCAGACCATGAGCTTGGATTCTAACTGTCTTTACATATAACCTGTGATATGTTGTATTTTCAGCATTAACTCTAATTCAAAACCAAAATGATACTCAAGGAATTTCATGATGAAAATTGTGCTTGTATTGCAAAGAGGCAGGGACCCTTCTCAGAGGAAACCCATAATGGCTTCCGCCAACAGGGCTGACCCTGGGGCAGATTAGACAAAATACACATAAGGCAGACATCAGCTCCAACTGACGCTTGGGGCCATCCCAGTACTGTCCTTGGGTTAAATTCACCTTGGCAGCTCGGTTCAGAAGGCAGCTGAGGAAGCAAGACACACGTTAAAATCTTCTCTCCCGTAGTACGGTCTGTGTCTGTCTGGAACGTGAGCAGAGGCTGGGACTGGTTGTCAGATAACCATAGTGCCTTCAACTTCAAGGTGGTCAGGGAAAGAGGCAGATGTAGCAACCTGATTTAAAATAAAAGGAGTTATGTTTTTCCAATTGTAAATAAAGCAGCAATAAACATGGGGGTACAAGTATCTTTTTCAATCAGTGTTTTTGTGTCTTTTGGGTAGATACCTAGGAGTGGGATTGCTGGGTCATAGGGAAGCTCCATGTTTAGCAGTTTGAGGAACCTCCAAACAGTTTTCCATAGTGGTTGTACTAGTTTGCATTCCCACAAGCAATGCAGGAGAGTTCCTTTTTCTCCACATCCTCGCCAACATGCCCAAAAGTAGATGACTGGATTAGAAAGATGTGGTACATATATACAATGGAATATTACTCAGCAACCAAAAAAGAGAAACACATGTCTTTTGCAGCAACTTGGATGGAGCTGGAAAAGATCATGCTTAGTGAGATAAGCCAGAAAGAGAAAGAAAAATACTGGGTGGTTTCACTCATAGCAGGAGTATAATGGACCAGGCGAGAAAATAACAAAAATAATGAACAACCATAGACCAGAGACATTCTGTGGGGGTGGAGTGGGGAATGGGACCAAAAACGGGGAGGGGGGGAAGGGAGGGAAATGCACGGGACTATGGTGGTGGCACAGGGGTGATTTGGTGATGGGAAACCCGTGGGGATTACAATTGAGATGAAAAAAAAATGTGCAAAATGATGTAAAAATAAACTTTTTAATAAAAAAAAAATAATAAAAGGAGTCAAGTTTGGCAATTAAATCCTTTTTCTTGTCACAAACAGAACAGGAAAAACAATTGTAGCAGTTTCCTGGGGTTGTCTTCAATCTCAGGATTGAAGATTTTATGTCTATAGTAGAAGATTTTATTTGTATAAGATACTTGATTTACTCTCTACATGTGGAGTCTTCAGTTGGTTACTGTGCTTCCATTTTCTGCAATCACTTCTCCCATTAAGAACTCCAGACCATACGGCAAAAATGAGGAAATTTTAAAACATGTTATTCAGTCTTGACTAAGAGGTTTCAATTTAAAGAGTAAAACACAGTATCACTGTGGAAGGAACCAGAAGCCTGAGTTCCTCCTACTTCAGTGGCAAGTGACTCACTGACAGGACTGGCAGGCGGCAGTGGGATGACATGTTTATAGCAGCACATGGCTTAATACAAAGAGGAAGTAGATACATGGCATGCTGAAGAGCTTAAGCTGTTGTTAAAAAAAAAAAAAAGATTAAACCAATTTTCCAAGATATCACCTGCTTTCTATAGGGAGATCAGTTCAGGCATTCTACCTTCAACCTTTATCTTTCTATTTCTGGAAGCTCCCCATTCTCAGATTCCAGGCGATAATGGACATCATTATCAGATAGTTTCAGTTTCAAATGAGATAGTATATATTAAAGACTTCAAAAATTTTAATGGCACCTACAGATAAGTTCTATTTTCATTCTTACACAAATAGTTGACAGACTGAATGCATCCAGTTACACTGATTTAGTAACGATCACTACAAGAACAACTATGTACTTGGTACTTGCCACCTCAGAACAGTGATTCTCAATCAGGAGTGATTGGACCCTACAGGCTACTGACAATGTCTGTAAATATATTTGAGTGTACTATTAGCATCCACCAGGTAAAGGGAAGGAATGTTGCTAAACAAGACAACATTCTACAATACACAGAACAGTTCTCATAACTGTTCCAAATGTTCCCGTACAAAGGGTTGAAAACACTGTTTTAATGAAAGCCAATGCTTTACACAAGTCTACTATTTCACTTTGAAAACAACCACACCTTCAGTAGAGATCAGAAATATTGGGTTTAAAGACACTAAGATTATATTTGATCAAGTATTTTCACTCAAAGGATAGCTCCATGTATTAAATTATGGCTCAATCTTCGAAGTGACTTCACAAGCTAGACCATAATGAGCGAATCACCCTGTGTTAACTACAAACTGAGTTACACTTTCTTAAACCTCTAGCCCATTAATTCTAAAAGAAATTAGGTAATAGCATATATTCCTGGGGCTCTTTCCCTTACAAACCTGTACATTTATTTCCAGTTAACATATGTGGGAGAACTACCTATAGAGATTACCAACAGGTTCCTATCATACTATTAACAACACATACCATTTCAACTAGGAGAATTAAACTAGAACTCTGTGTAGAATTAAACTAGAGAATTAAACTAGAACACTATTTCAGCTAACAGCTGTACGCCAGTATTATAAATCTCGCCTAAGTAAGTATAAACACAACTGGTTAAGTTACTTTAACAAAGTAAAAAATTAGCAGGGAGACTATTACAACAAATGTGCAGCCTGGGCTGAGCACGGACAGTGGAATCACACCACTCATGGGAGTCCAGCTCTTAATCAAACCGTGCAAATTACAAGTATCCTTGGAAAGACTGTAGGTATCAGACACTGAGGTATTTCACTAGTGCATGTTACACCAGATGGTATATGCGCATTTTTAAATGCCACAATCCATGCAGTGCAGTGACATATTCACACCACCACGAGCAGAGCAGGACGTAGGGACTCAGAGAACAGTCGATTTTAACTCCACTTCTCATTTGGAGGCACTGGTCCTCTCAGTGTGATCAAAAGTGAAATCTTGTGCTTATACAACAAATTACTTGTCCCTCTCTGCAAAGACTGTTGCACATATACTCAACTGCATGGAAGTTACAAATATAAAACATACATATATTTGCCAGGCAAAGAAATGGAAGTTTTATTTTTTTTTAGGAATATCTGTAATATACTGTGAAAGCTTAAATTATATTCAACTCTTTATTTAGTTTTATTGAACAAAAGGATGGTTTCTTTGGAAAGTCCATTCATAGTCCTAGGCAAGAAATCTAGAGTCAGTATCTCTACCTTTCTTAGCCATGGGAGCAAAAGGAAAAAAGTCAACATTTGAAAGCCGGCATAAAATACAAGTACTCAAATTACCTCATCTACTTGATGGCCACCTCATCTACTTGAATTATTAATTAGCTTGCCAGCTGAATGCTACAGCAAAGGAATAAATATAAGGCTAAACAGAGCATCAATAATAAATAATCACTTCAGAAGATGACAAATTGCATAGTAAAAGCTAAAATAAATTACTAGACTCTACAACAGTAGATTTTGTAATCATATCAACCAAGCCATGTAAGATTAATGAGTTGGGTAAACACCAATTTTCCTGCAAAGAATCAGTGCCAGTGTGAATATGGCTACTGCTGGCTAAGCACATACCACATATGAGCTTGTTCACAAGTGTCTCGTGAACAGTGGTGAGCCCAGTGATACCAAAAAGAGAAAAGGCCCTGTTCCTGCAAACTCACACAGAGATTCTGCAGGCCTGCCAGCTCTCTTACTGACTCCCTGCAGCCTGGGGAAAGAAGACATACATTCCTCTGTGAGTGAACCATCCCAGACATCTGTGCATGTATGAAAAAGAAAAGAAAAGCCTACTTTCCAGGGAGGTTGTTAATGCATTTTTTGGTTTGTTTGGGTACCTTCTATACACTACAGATTGAACACAAGAAACCACAGTCCCAATTGTACACATCTCTGTGTCCTACTTAGGGCTACATACCCCAAAATAAAAACTCTGCAGTTCCCATTTCCATCAACGGTAGGACTACAGCATATGAATTGGTTCAATTCACTAAACTGTGAGCCTCTCATTTCCCGTACGCCCATGGCAGCCCAGACGAAGCAACCTTTGCCATCTCTGAACTTCAATCACAACTGCACTGTCAAATTTATTTAACAGCTAAAAAAAAGGCTTATTAATTAATGTATACACTTAACCTATACTTGAATTCTTATTACACAATTGAAAGTGTTTGTTACCTCCTACTAGAAATTCTAAGTATATTTTTTACAACTGTTTTAATGATATATAGACAACATATAATCAATGAAAAATTTAAATATCAAAATATCTAAAGTAAAAGTGGGCAATACACTCAAGTCTCCACACTGTCTCTAGGGAACACTACTATTAATATTTGGATACATTGAATAAGTAAGTTCTTTTAAAAAGGGATGCTGTGCACTGTTCACTACTTGATCTTCTCACTCAGTATCCTGGGCCTCCTTCCATGTCACTTATCCCATATTATGAAGGAATCATCTCAGTCCTCACCTGGTTCGCATTCCAGACTATGGCTACACCTCTGTATTGTACTCTGTCTTTTAATATTTAACACATTTTTTTCCAACTTTGGGATACAATTTTAAGTAAAAAATGCACAATGTGATGATGCTCTACCACAAAGGGCTAGCAAGTTAGCACCTCCATCTTAATCACCATTTTGTATGTGTGTGTGTGTGTGTGTGTGTGCACAACTAAAGTAATTACTATTTTGTGTGTGTGTGTGTGGTGAGAACACTTAACATCTACTCTCTTAGCAGTTTTCCAATATATAATACAAAATTGTTAACTATAATCACCACATTGTATATTAAAGGCTCAAAACATAAACATCTTAAAATTGGAATTGTGTCCCTTTTAATCTATATATGTATACATTTTATGTAATATATACATATGCCTGTATATATACATATATACACACATCACATCTTCTTTACCCATTCATCTTGTCAGTAGACACTTAGCCTATTTCCATGTACTGACTATGGTGATTAATGCTGTAATGAATATAGGAGTAGAGCTATGCCCTCAAGGTTCCTTTGGTAATATATCCAGAAGTAGAACTGCTGAGTTACATGGTAGTTCTATTTTTAATTCTTTAAGGAACCTCTATACTATTTTTCCTAATGGCTGCACCCATTTACATTTCCATGAACAGTGTATGAGAGTCTCTTCTTTCCCACACCCTCACCAACACTTTCTATCTCTTGCCTCTTTTGTAACTTTAAATAAGTTACATCTTTACTATTTCTTACTTAGCTTTTTGAGTAATAAAATTAAGATATAAACTATCTCCCCATGACAGCCACTGTTTCTAGTATTGGCACTACAAACACTGTAAGGCAGATACTCAAATACCCAATTTGTATAGTTGGTGGAAAGACCACAGTGAACAGAAGTCTTTCTCTAAAATTAAGGGACAGCTGATGATGCAAGATACCTTCCGTTCCTGTCACAGGAAGGCTGGATGCTTAGTTTTCAAGGGGTAACTCATGGTCATCCTTGCTATAATTTATTCTATCCATTGTCCTAACAAAGGAAAGTTTTGGGAAATTAACATGTAGTTTCCCTGTTGCTACTGGCCACTTTTATATGTCTGAGCGGAGAGACAGAATCTTCTATTCAATTTGGTCTGATTTCCAATGGTGTGGCATATTTTGCAAGTTAAAAGGCTGACATGGTAGCCTTTTTATTATTATTATTATTAGTTTCTATACTGATACTTTAAATAAGTAGCAATTATGTATTTTAATAGGCTTAAAAGTTGTTCATGAATCTATATATCTTGGATTAAATGACACAGTTAACTGACTCAGATGGCAGCTATGCCACTCAACTTTTTAATGGGGTTTTCTCCACCCCAGCCCAAGCATAATAAAAATTAAACTTTCCCTTCTTCTGAGACCTCTCATGTGGAAAATAATTTTTAGATATCAGAGTCTAAAACTTTCAAGATTTGGTGATGCTAATTCATGCTCACCAGTGTAACAGGAACCAGGGGAGGTTTGAAGTCAATGAGTTTCTACAGCTGGAGGCAAGAGAGTAGGAGAGAGGGATCCTTCTCATGCTTAAAATTTGTTGTTGAGCTCGACAACACTCAGCTCAACCTACATCTTGAGCTTTCAGTAACCAGTTAGTGGTCTGAAGAATCTATCAAAATGTCCTATAAGCACTTGCTTTGAAGAGATGAACATTCCCTGAGGTCATAACTCATCTCCAGGTATCAAATAAACATTGCTATTTATTTAGCACTGCTGTCTATTAGTCCATTAGCAAGAGGAAAAATAGGGGTTTGTCTTCTAACATAAGTGAACAGCTAATCAGCACTTAGTGCACAATCCCCCCAAACACTCTTCAGATGGCCAGTATTTACCATTTAAAATCACTAATTCTCTCCCCCTGACTGAGTACAATTTTTCCATCTCAAGAGCAATCTTTTAATTCAGTTTGGAAATAAACATATATTTCACACTGGTCTTCTTTATTCTGAAAAACTAGGTTTTTTCACTTTTTCATTCAATCGACAAATATTTACCAAGCATCCATTATGGCTCTGGCACTGTGAAGGCACAAATGATACAATGACACTGAAACTGTAACATCTCACCTAAGGTAACTTTAGGTTGAGGATGGCTACCCACACGTAAACAGGCAGTTATTACATAGTGCTGTGAGTGCTCCCTCAGGAATAATTAAATGTGCATGTGGAGAAAATGAAAGTTTGAGTGATAAAGAATAGAGAGCCCCAGGCAGAAAGAACAGTCTGTGTAGGCTTAGCAGGAGGAAGAGCACATGACATCTGAGATGATGATACTAGTCAGAATGGTTGAAACAAATCCACATTCCACAAAAGTGAAGAGAAGGTACATTGCACAAACTGGTGAGCAGTCCAACATGACCTCTTACCACAGAACTTGAGAAATGGTGCTACAATGACCTTGGCAATACTAGACTGATACTCCATGCTTTTTGTGGCCTATAAATCACTCAGTTCTGACATTAACTATAGATCCTCCCATCGGAGAAATGCCCCAGAATATAAGTGAATTTACAATTCCAGAGGGTTCAGAGTCACTGGCAGAGCACATCAAGATGGCTGGTAAATTCTAGTTCAAAATCATTCAAGCTCATTTTCCAGAAGAGGCAACTCTGAAGTCCATGACAACTTACAGAGCTTAGATAAAACCCATCTCCCAGCCTCAGGCAGGGATTGTTTCCTTACATCAATGCACTGACATCCCGGGAGCGGGGAGGGAGGCATTTCTACAGAAATGTCTACTTTAGTGTACCTTATGCTCAGACTTTCCATGACCTTCTCTACTCTACCAGCCTAAGTCACTACAGTGCCTGAACTAGAACTCCTCAGGGCCTGGATGATCCAATTTAACTGGTATAGATTCTGCATGATGAAGCAAAGGCAAGATTGTGAAGATGCAGAGCAAAGGTGAGGGTGGATGGACATCTGTTTCTAGCAAAACAAAACAGAACACACTTACCTGTTCCCTGCTACATCCAGGACGTGAAGCTCTGTTGCTTGTGACACTTCTGCAGGTATCCGAGTCAGTCTATTGTCACGCACACAGAACACAGTGAGGCTGCAGCACCCGCCAATCTACAACAGGAAAAAAAATACACCTTTGCCCAGGTCTTTTGGGGGGTACAGGGCAGGAGCAGACTATCTTGTTTATCAGCTGGCATGACAAGGATGCATAAAATTGTTGGGCTCACTGATGCCCAACAGATTAAATAAAATCATACAAAATCCTGAGTCCAAATAAGTTCACAGAACTTTCTGTAAAACATTAATATACATGTTCTAAACTAAATCTAGAAAATAAAATTTTTATTCTGAAAACAAAGTTATTTTCCACTGTTATCTAATGAAACTGCATCTCTTCAATGTATTAAGCTGGACAATTATTATTTAATATGGGAGCTCAAGAATCCTTAGTTCCAAGTTAGGCAAAAGATATTTACACACAACCAAGATGGGCGTGTGTGTGCACGCGCACACACACACACACACAGCCCTTTACCACCTGCTCACTATATTACCTTCAATGTTCTCAGTGTTCCAGTTGATAAAATAAAACAGATTGAGAGAGACAGCTAACAGATGATATAGTACATTAATTGACACTGCATAATTTTTAAATAGCTTTTGGTCATTCCATTTTCTATTGACAACTGACAAAGTCAACAATGTCTTAGCAAACAGTGAATTTTATAAACACATAAGTTAATCTCAGCCATGACCTGATGAAAAAAGCACATATGTCAACATATGCATTCATACAGAATTTGCTGTTTCTTGTTTTTAAGTAAGCATTACAAAGGTAATTGAGGTTTAAATGAATCTGATATTCAAAAAAGAACACAACTTCCAAAGAATTCAGTGATTCTCCTGAACAGATTCACTGTGGTATTCACAGTCAAAAAAGCTGAACCATGGGGGGAGGGAGTGCAAAAAAGTAGCTGAGCCCCAAACTCAACACTGTGCTGGACTCCACACAGCAACACATTCTTCTTACACTTGCTGTCCTAGAAAGACAGCTAGGAGAGCTCATGAAGGAACCTATTGATGTCTGACACATGGAAAAATACTCCACAGTCTCCCACTTGGGGAGGAGCAAGAGGCTCAAATCTGCAATGATATTTGAATGTATCTCCTGCTCTTTTCCATTAATATGTGCTTAATAACTGTATAATATCTCAAAAGCAAAATACATACTTATAAGGTTACTGCCTAGTTACCCTCATACACAATCTTATTAGAGCTCCTTTTAGGACTTAATATAAAGGTTCAGAAATAATATATTTAAGCACAGGATTTTACCATAATGAAAGTAAAACAGAAATAAACACAAAAACAGACTAACATTTTGTCTCTTATCACCTGGAAAACTCCCAGACATGTAGGAAGAGTTCTGGACTGTCCCCTTGACTTCTAGTATTCCTATTCCCCATCCCAGCCAAAATGTCCTCTAACACACATCTTGTATTTGTCGTCCCGCTCTATCTCACAGAAATGCTTTTTGTCTTTCTTTCAAAATCTTAACCATCCAAAATTAACTAAACACTCTACTCCATAAAGTGCCCCCTATACTAACCTTCTGAAAGTACATCTCAAGAAGATTCTTCAGATCCACTGAGCAACTGCTGATTAGCAAGTGGCCACATGTAGTAATCAGGGTACTTGGCAAGCACAGTGCTCATTCTAATCCACCTATGTAGGGAGCCTGACCACCTACCAGCATGTGTTTGGTTATTTATTTACTTACTAGTGAAAGGCTGCTACTTAAAAGCTATTACCTGCTTCTGTGTGTAGCAATGGAGACAATCTCTCAGATTTTATAAATGCAGGACCTCTGCAATGTCCTAAGGAGATGTGCGACAGGATCTTGTGTGGGGTCTCACCTGTCTTCCCTGCCATGAGGAAGGAAATCATCAGTTGCCCAGGAATTTAACAGAAGAAAAGGAACAAAAACCCTGATCTTTTTAAAGATGGACATGGACAGATTCTCTGTGATAAATTTAGAAAATCCTAACAAAGATCTACTGAAAGGAAGGAAGTCCAGGGCCACCTCCCACCTCAGCCTGCCCCATATGGAAGAGTGTCTGCTCTGGACTTGAGGTTCAGTGACGGCCCTGGATGCAGAGGCCGGCCTCCCAAGTCAGCATTTGGCTGTGTCTGGACACCCCTCAACAGTGCCCACCTGGCCTGCATTTCCGTACACCAGGGAGGCAGAGCAGATAATAATAGTTGAATATTCACCTATGTGATTCTCCTGATGGAACAATTAGCTCTTGGATGGTTTGGATGGTACAGAGCCAAGACACCCTAGGTGACAAGGGCAACTCTGTCATGAAGCTATGCACAACCCAGCCACTGCGGGACATCTGTTCAGGCACACTGCCACTGAGCCAAGTGAGCATTTTTTTCTTTCTTTCTTTAATTTATTGATTCATATAGAACTGGGGTACAGGCCAAAGGTGCAGAGACAGTGAGAGGATTCACCAGAGATAGAGTGGGGAGAAGAACAGGCTGACCAACCAAGTACACTGCTGAGGGGAGCAGCGACGGGTCAGAAGAGGTCTGCTGTGCCATGTGGATCACCTCTGGGTTGATGATCGAACTTGCACTGAAGAGGCTGTGGCTAGCTTTCAGTGCTGCATCCTAACTCACTGCTCCACCAGAGAGGGCCCCACGTGAGAATTTTCAATTGGTCTCATGGGCCTATACTGTCTATTCAAAAAAAAAAACACAACCCAACTACTTAAAGTGGGTCAGAGAGCACTCTCCATGCTGTGAGGATAAAAGTTCTAGAAAAGTTAGCATTCCTTAGGTTTGGGGGGAGGAGGTAATGCGAACTCCCAGTGGAATGTGCAGCTCTCCACTGTGTCTACAGTCTCATTTATTTATTTTCTTTTTCTTTCCCTAGTCTCACACCCATTTGAGACGTCAAAGGGTGGGAAACAATTGCATTTAGAGACTCCTAGGCAAGCTGGGTTGTCAGCAGAGTGACCTCCTGATCCCCATTGTCTATGGTTTTGGAAAACAATGCCAACAAAGCCAGCACAAGAATCTATCTGTGGAACAGTGTGCGAGGGAAGCCTTAATCACCCCTTAGAGGCACAAGCTGTCCCAGGCAAACATTCACACAAACAGCGCTCTCTCATTCCAAAACAGCCAGGAAGGGATGGTGTGAATCTTCAACTGTCAGAATACACTATTAAACAGTCAATCTGTAACTCAAAACATATAGTTCTCTATTAGACATCAAGGGGAATGTGGTGCAATGGAGGGTGTGGCTACCTTGAGGTCACACAGATGTGTGTTAGAATGTAGGCTCAGGCAGATGTTTGTGGGTTGGGATATGTTACTTTAACCAAAATTAATGATAGGATTAAGTGCTATTATACAGCAAATATAATTTAGCAACTATCACAGTATCTGGCCTACTGCTGTTGCCTAATGATGGGGTAGCTATGGTTTTTCCCAGAGGAAATCCCAGATCCAAATGATGAGTGCAATCAACACTTCAGCCACCTATGACACTATTCAATCTGTGCAGATGCTAGAAAGCTCTTCCTGAACCCACAGAACTTCTTAAAAACTACTTTCCTGTATCACAGTGGCCCTTTGTACTAGCAACAGTGAGGACCTGACATGAGTTCAGTGTTGTGTTGTGTTGTGTTGTGTTGTGTTGTGTTGTGTTGTGTGTGTGTATACACTAGTCATATGTATTTTCACTTTTTCTTTCTGGTTCAGGAGGCAGTTTACTAGTTCCTAAGTGGTCATGAGGATAAAATATCTATCACTTATAAATTCTGGGAAACAGTTGTTTAAATAACTTATTACCACTTATGTAGGGAGCTGATATTTTTAGACCTCCCTTAAACCACATAATAGCGCCTTCCCAGAATACAAGGGGTGGGACTTGGATTCTCTAAAAGCTACAAAATGCAGTTGAGAATCCTCGTTTAGCTGTCCTGTGTCTCTTAATTCAAGATGATACTGTCCTAAACTGTTTGGCACTGATTTAATCCATCTCAAGGAAATGGGACTGCCAATTCATAGTCAAGTCACTTTTTAGTATATATTAATTGTCTGCAGGTGACATTACCCTAAAGGAGATCATCAGTTTAAAAAAAGAGTCTGTACTAGTCACTTTTGTCTGCCTATATCTACTCTGTGAATGCCTACCAAAAGTATAAAGGAGATTTCATTTCCTTCAGTGTCTTTCTTGTGATATTATTTGTAACAGAATTAAACTCACATTTAATTGGGAAAAAGGAAAATGCAAAAAAAAAAAAATCTGGTCTAAATACAGTCTGAAGAGTAATAATATGTATAATTTTAGAAACCAAAGGTTATTTTTGCCTTTCCCAACATCATCTGTGGCATATTATTCAAATGTTCCCTACTTCATAAATATTCTGGAAATCATGTGGCTTTGGGACTCCCTGAATTGCTGGACTACTGACATCAAAATATCCACTAACAACTATGGCATTTTTCTTCTCTAATTATAAAAAACTTATGTACTGCAAAATAAAGTCCTATATAACTACACATGAAAGCACAATGAAAAAATGACTCAAAACAAATCCTACATCAAAGGGAAAATCAGTATTAATATCCTGAGGTATAATCTTCCAGTATTATCGACATACATTTGTGATTATACATACACATTTTAACAGAACTGGAATCAACGCTATGGTTTTTAGTACTTTTGTTCACATATGAAATCAAGAACATTTCCCTTGTCATTAAATTTCTAAAATCATCTTATTGGCCACAAAATTATTTCATCCTACAGATGTAGCACAGATTACTTCACAAAGAGCCCATATCAGTTCTGCCATTTCTTTGCTGTTAATGTTGGGCCAGTTGCTTAAACTTCTCTGAGTTTAGTCTTATAATCTGGCAGAGGCTGATAATAATTTAGCTATACCTCATAACTATTGTGAAAGTTAGACAAGGACAGTAATAAAAGCACTTGGTACAGTGTCTGACATGTGTTAGTTGCTCCTATATATACTGTGAGAAATATTCTTGTATACCATTCTTATTGTAAATCCTTAACTGTTTACTTAGGTTAAGTTCCTAGATATGTAGGATCTCCTTCTCTGTGACGCCCCCAGGATGCCATTACCTTCTCAAAGATCAGAACTGTACTTTCACGTAGATAAATTCATCTACTTCCTCTTTTATGACTTACTTCCTCTTGTCAAGCTTAGGAATCCTTTCTTCATCTTGAAATGCAATAGTCACTGTATTTTATGTTAATACTTTAAGATTACATTGATATTTAGTTGTCAGAAAGTCATTTTAGAGTATGATGGGAATTCACACAAAAATAATTTTAAGGTATAATTAGGCAGTAAATGAACCACAGAATGAATGTTCTATCACTATGTATGTTTCTTAATATTTTAAGACTATTTATGGGCAATTAATATTTACAGAAAACCTAAACAAAACAAAAAAAGGTTGATCAATGGTCTTCAAATCCCATCTTGTCTTACTGAGTGTGACCTAGTTGGGTAACTTTAATTTTGAATTGATAGAATAAAAGACTGGACTCCAAACCTGGATATATGCTCAATTTCTTCCAGGCAGAAGCTCTTTATAGTTCAGGTTAGCTAACAGTAGTGTTTGATGGGGAAAAATTATAAAGTTACAAATCGTTGTCATCATATCCAACTCCCTGTCTATCCATGAATCACACTACAATACAGTCTCTTTTGAAGTATTTCCTCCATTAAAAATAAGTTTTTAGGAAGCCTCCAGAGCATATATAAGTAACAGGACGAGAAATAAAAGACACAATAAGTGGCTTGAAAAATCAGAAGCATGCCACATGTAGCAAATAAAGCAAATCTAGCCTTTCCATTAGAAATAGAATCGTGCCAACAAACTGGAATTGAGTGAAGACAGATGAGCTGCCAAATTATGCCTTTCAGAGTTTCTGAATAACTTAAAATGTAATTCACAGAACAGCATTCTTTTGAGAGAGAATAATCTGAACAAATCTGACAAACACATAACAAAATATGGTTCCAGGCCATGCAGTCATTAAAAAAAATAAATTTAGAGAAAAATGTCCAAAATTTTACAATGAGGAACACACAAAGCAGTCAGCGGATTTGAGTCTTCATGCATTTAAGAAGCAAAATGGAAGTCAGAGATGGAACTGTGGTCTGAACAATACTTACAAGATGACAAGTTTACCTGACTTTTCTAAATTTCCAAGCAGCTAACAATTAAGAAAACAAGAGACATTTGTTGATTTGGAAATGTTTACTACAAATAACACCACAAAACACAAACAAAATCTATTATTGTGACCCACATAGTACGAACATTTTCCCCTCAACCATTTGAAAGAAAAAAAAAGTAAATAAATCTCGCTAAGACTAAGGATCTATGATTTAATACTGACAATATACAATACCAACAAATTAAAAGAAAAAGACAAAGAAAAAAGGAACTACACAACATATAAGACCAAATGGTAATTAATTCAACTGTGGACTTTGGGCATATAAGTTGAATAGGTCAGCATTTCAGTTTAGATATGTCATGCATGCAACATACTTATTAAAGAGAACGTAATAGAGCCTCAAAAGAAAAGAATCCAGTCTGGAAGGTGCAGGATTTGATCAAACAGTATCAAGCTTGGAGCCAGAGCACACTTGTGCACAGACACACAGACACAGGTGCTACTCCCTTCCACTAAGCCACATACATAAACACACAAAACACACACACACACACAGGGCCACAGGGCCTTCCACACTCACTCACAGAGACAGTGGCACAAAGGTACTGCCCAAACCAACATGACGCAATTGGAGGTCAGGAGGCTCTCAGTGGTTTGGCTCTTCAGCCCGATGGTCAGAGGCAGGCACCCAGCCATTTCTGCTGGGTTACCAAATTGTGACCCACAGCAGAAGTGGAGACATGGGAACATGTGCTTGGTGCATTTCCTCCCCTGGGAGCCGAGTTTGTGTGAGTAGGAGGAAGGGATGCTAGGAAAGAGGAATTGCTAAAAATCCAAACACCCTCTGGCTTACCCAGTCAGGAAAAAGCATAGACTTTTATACCGTCATAAAACTTCAGAAGCCAGAAAATGAACCAAAATTACATAGAAAATGGGTAAAAAGTGATAATCAAAATGCATTGAAGTTGGAAATACTTTCACATCAGAAAAGCTGTTCTAAAAAAAAAAGTCATGCCTCAAGGCACATAGTAGGTATCTACAGCTAAACAGCACAAATGTCGTTCTCTTAAAGTGAAAATAAGACTAGTGCTAAATGACGGTGATGGTTTTACAAAAATAGTGTTCTAATGTTCCTGTCTAGAACGTGTCCTTTTAAAGAGAGAAAAAAAATCAAGGGAAGTTAGTTGGGTGTGATGAAGCTTACTGGGAATTTAGAAGTGCTCTCTTTGCCACTTACCTTGAGACCTACTCCTAGAATGTTAATTTTGTAAAACTGCATTAATATAGTTCAGTATTTTAGAAAACACTACTTAAAACAATTTGACTTTTCTTTATCAAACTGAGATCCCGCCTTACTCAGGTCACACAGATGGGAAGGCTGGCTGAACCTGTGTGACCTGAGCAGTGAAGTTCTGAGTGGCCAATAAAAGAGCAAGGAACTAGAGTTCAGGAGACTGACCCGTGGAGCCTGGTTTCAGGGACTCCCAGCTCTGTGAGCCCTGGTAAGGACAGCTGTCTCACTAGTTTCCATTTCCTCATCTGTAAAATGTGGACATCCTCATAACCTCAAAAGCTGTTGTGAGGAGTCAATGAATTAATATACATGAAAGCATCTAGTATGGTACATGCATTAAATAAGAAAGTAATAAATCCTTTCTATTTCTGTGTGTGTGTGTATGTTTATGGGTCCAAACGATTATCTCCCTATGTGTGCTATTCAACAAGAGTGAAATAAATACTCACAATATCAGCTGTTTTGGTTTTCACTTTGGTTCCAGAGGTTGGAACCAAAATGTATTGATTAGCATAGGTTTTACTTGGGTCCCAGTTTAGCTGAGATATTAACTTTAGTTCCTTTGCTTAAATAGGTTTTCTTTCGATGGCAGGGAGAATTTTGGCATGCCCAGAATTGAAGACCAAGCTCAAGAAAGGAAAACAGAAACCACGACGACAATTTCAGACACTTGAGAAGTACCCTAGTTAAGTAGAAACCCCTCAACTTCTGGCTGGTTGGATGGCAGCTCTGAAAGTGTGTCAAGACATATGATGGAATGGGTTAAATGGAGAAACACAAATTGCACCTGGTCGGTGACCTGTCACACCAAACCACACCTTTTTGTATGAGGTTCTGGCAAAAGGGAGGGTCAGCTCACCAATAGCTCATTTGATTGAGGTGGGTGGAGAGGGGAAACGGGCTTAAATTTAATTTTAGGCTATACTAATTAAAAAAATCAGTACTTCCCTCTGCCAATCAAGTTCTCCTTGTTCCAAACAGAAAGCCTTCTTTTAAAACAACATATTACAACGTATTACACACCTCCTTGTTTAATCTACTGTGGACTTCCTCCTCATTCTTTTCGTATTCACCCCCTTGCCAGAATGCCTAGGTCTGCACAGCTACTTCTCCACAATGGATGGTGGCTTTCTTTTTTCTCCCACTGGGAACACTGACAGAAATATCCCAAGAATCTGGTCTTAGCTTCCATTTGCCTTCCTCAAGGAGAATGTCTCTGTGAAGAGCTCATTCATTCTTGCTCGATGTGAATGTTGCCCCGGACAAGTGCCCAGAGACAGGGTGCATCAAGAGCCGTCCCTATAACTCCCATGGCTGATGAAGCAGTTTAACTGTATTCAACTCAATCAAAATCAAAATCATTGGCTTCCTCTGCCAAATCCCAAATTATCCGTTTCTGTCAACGGTGTCATTATTCAGTTATATCAAGCCCCAAATCTCAATCTTTATCTTTCTCCCATATAAAATATGATCATCTTTGCCAACATGGTTCATAGTCAGGGAAACTCACCTACTCTATTTAATGGTGCTGAAATTCATTCTTTCATATAATTCTTCCAACCATCTCTATAGTCACAGATGAAAGCATGTATGTCTTCAAAGAGTACCATGTAAAATTTTAAAGTATTTGACATTTTGATCTCTTGTGGGTTGGTGTTATTACTTTATAATTATTATGCTATTTTGTAAAAAGCACATTACCTCTTTTGGTAGTGACACCAATTTATTTCTGTCTGCATTCAAGTTGCTCAACTTCTTAAGTTTTCCAATGCTCTTAGGTAAGGTCTGTTAAAAAAATATTTTATTATTAATTTAACAAATATTTGGAATATGGATCACAGTAAAGATCTTTTCAAGGACTTAAGGAATATAAACTCATCCTACGCATTATGTTCAATAATTCTTCTTGAACATCACATATTTGTTAAGATTCCCTAAGGAATATGGAATTATCTACTTTACATTTGTGTTGAAATGATCATTGTGTTTCAATGAACAAATCAAAAGCTCAGAGCAGGGAACAGAAAAACACTTAGTAAAGAAGAAGAAATGAAGGCTCTTCAACTCAAGTGAGTGAGAATTTTCCCTCAAATTTCATTTTCAAAATTTACTCCTTCCTTCCCTGCACTTTTGAGAACCACAATAAACAGTGGCTTCCATGACTGTGGAAGTCACAGGGCTGGGGAAGGGAATGAGAATCCCAAGCAGGGTGCCTGAGGCCAGTGGGAAAGAGCTGTGAGGATGTTACAGGGTATCCCAGAGTGGACTGGGCCACCTGTCTGTGGGGCCTCACCTGCAGGCTCACAATTGGGTTATACTGCAGGTACACACAAAAGAGTCTATAACGGGTTTATTTACAAAAGGGGAAAGGAATAGGAAGCAACCCAGGGAAAGGGAGTGGGATACCAAGTAACTAGAATACTTCACTGACTGAACACACACAGTCACGTGGTCCAGATAGCCGTTTCCCGAGCGAGAGATGCAATTGCGCCCTATTTATCCCCCAAATGTCCTGCTAGCCTCGCCCTTGTGTCCTCAGTTCTCTCCCTGGTACTGCTGGGAGTTGTAGTTTCCAATCACTGGAGTAGGGTGTAGGGTCCAGAAAGCTGGAGTAGGGGGTGGAGTCCATAAGACTCTGCAGAGTTCCTTTAGGACATCCTTCCCCTTAACAAGGGGAGCACAAGGCCCTTTAGGACCCAGGCCAGAGTCCACAGGGGCCAGGAAGGGGTCTTCATAGATTGCAAGGGTGACTACATTTTCAGTAACTGCTAGGACTATGATTTGCAAGCCCAAAACCATGAAGCTGGACAGGAAGACTTGATCTTTTTAGCCACACTTGCCAGAGGAGGCTGCTGCAGCTGCCTGAGGAGAGACTCTGCCGGGCTCCCCCACCAACTCTGTGTCCTTAGTGCACTCTTGCTGTCTTTTTCTGCTCTTTACATCTAAAGAACATTACTGACTCTTTGCATAAAGAAAGGAGAGAAAGGGATAAAAGGAGTAGTGTAAAAAATAAAGCAATAAGATGGAGCTAAAGAAATAAAGGTACCAAAGTAAACTAAGGAAATAATACTGGCCTCAACACAGCAAAAAGAAACGAAAGGGGAGATGACAGCAGAGGCATGAGCAGGAGAAGTGCGATTGCTGCCACCATGCCAAGCTAGCCTTAGCCTTGGCAGGAGGTGTGTGCCCCGCCTCTGCCCAGGGTAGACGAAGGACTGTCCAAGTGCCCACTCCACCCCCAATAGCTAGGACAGGGCAAGATCACAGATCAAAACCCGCCAGATACCATTCTCCAACTAGCTTATAAAGAAAATTCCTGCTACAATCCTAACCAAGGCTCTCCCTGGCCAACCACCATTTCTTTTCCTCTCTTAGGATCTTCACATTTTGTTCAAAAAAAAAGGTAGAGAGAACTCTGTTTCCTCATTAGTCTTTGGACACCCTGGCAGGGGCATCAGTCACAGAGAGTGGTTTATCCCACCACTCGCTGGGGATCTCTGGGAGGTATTAGCCAGACCTAGTACTGAAAGCATGACAAGAGGGACCCGCTCTGACTGGGAATCGCAAAGCCACTTTCTTCATGTAAGCAGATGAAACATCAGTCACCTTGATGCCAGATATTTGTTTCACAAGTCTCTTTTCAGATGCAACCTCAGGAAATTTCCACTTAGTCCATGCAGATTACAAATAAGTAGAATTTACCCCTAATAAGTATTTATGATATAGAAACCACACTACAAATAGCCATTGACATGCGCAAACCACTCACCAGGAGCTGGTTTTCTGTAAGAACTAATTCAGTGAGGCTTTCACAGTCCCCAACTGCTTCAGGCAACTGTGTGAGTCTGTTCTGATCCACCTTTAAGATCGACAGTTTCTTTAGTTTTCCTGTAAAAGTGTTATTTAAACTCATTAGCTACAATTGTATTCAAATAATCACTTGGTATTGCCTGTCTGCAGTTTTTTGTGTTAAATAGTTACTCATTTTTTCCCCCTCGCCCAGCTTCTCAAATTATGAAATCCTAGCTCACTAAAGGTAGAGAATTAAAATAATTTGTTCAGAACATGAAAAACAGTCAGCAATTATAAGCAAATCATTTTAAAAGTCATTACCTAAAAATATCCTATCAAAGTCAGAAAATTTAAAGAAAAGCAAACAGCTGGCTCATGATAGATCTTTAAGAACAGGAGATGCTTCCTGTACAAAAAAAGAGACTTCAAACTTGTTCCAGGAAATCAATGAAGCATAGTTTATTTTGCCACCAAATGTGAAATGACACTACAAAAATCCTTATAAGTGTTTTATATATATGTGTGTGTGTGTGTGTGTGTGTGTATGTAACAAATTTTTAAAACTCACTGATTCTTTCTTTTCACCCATTTCAACAAGATGTAACAAATCTATTCCTCCTTCTTCATGACAGCCTTTGCAGTGCTTCAAGTCAGCCATCTCCTGCCTCCTACTTCTTCCTATTCTCAGAAATGCAACATCCCTAGTTCCTACAACTGTTTTCAGATGCCATATGATTCTACCTAGCATTAAAATCCCCATCAATTTTCCAACCAGTTTTAACCAAAAGGCAATGTCCATGTTCCTACTCAATTGCTATTAGCAATTACCACTTTCATCCTGACAAGTACCAGAAAGGATGTGGTTCTAAGTATTAAACATCTTTCCAAAACTTCCTTTAATGTTAAGTTAAATGTAGGTCAAAGTCAGGAGTCCTATGATGACTATATGGTTAAATAACACTTCTTACAATTTTTCAGTGGCTTACAATGGAACTGCCAGTTCACGTCTGTTTATACCTTTTCTGTTTATACTTATTTTTCTCACCCTGGACTGAATTCCTTTATGGTATAGGAAATGTCTGGACTAATTTTTTTAAGGAAGTAAGCACAGCATGAGTAAAGTAAATGATTATTCTCAATGTGCTAGAGAAGATTCCATTCAGGCAAACTATTCTCCCTTAATAGCCCATCCCTAGGACAAAGTTACTTTCTCATAAACTGTTCATATGTCTGAAACCTACTCTAATATGTGGGCCAGTCCCTACTGAAATTATTGAAGATGTGGATGAAGCAGAAATGAGTCAACACTTGCAAGTACTAATACCTACAGCTGCTTTCAAATCAGGATGACAGGAAAGCTTGCATATAGGAAACCTGAGTTGTATTAAACATTCCTTCTATTGCTTCTTTAAAAACAACTACAGCAGCCAGGTCCCCAGCACCTAGGAGTGCTGATCAATGGGTGTGTCAAATGCTTGAGACAGTATCTGGCACCTTCAGGTATTTTCTATACATACCAATGCCATCCGGAATCACTTCTAGTAAGTTCTGAGAAATAACTAAGTCCGTTAATGAAGCCAGGCCACTGATTTCTTCAGGAAGTCTTTCCAACCTGTTTTCGGAGACATCTAGGCACAACAGGCTTTTCAGATTTCCTATTTCCTACATTGGTGACAAAGGTTTTAAAAAACATTAAAAAAAATACCTCATGTTTCAACTTGCCATAATACAAAGCACAGAATCTGTTACTGTGATTTTCTCCCAATCAAATCCCAGAGTAGCCCTAAGGATGTTTCTTTTGCGTATATTGAAATGTGAAGACTGTAGTAAATTTCCAGAACCCTTCTGGTGAAAACAGGAAGCAGAATAAATCAGAGTTGGGAGGGATGACAAACCCTTCAACTTCTGGGAAATAGGAAATCATTCTCATCTAATAGATGAAGAGACAGGCAACAAGAGAAAACAAATGACTTTAAGAAATTACTTTAATGACATGATTAGGGGGAAAAGGCTAAAATATAGTTCTCCAAGATTGTGATCAATCACTTACTAAGTAGCTTGCACTTCAAGGTGACCCTCAAGTTTTCTGTTAGGAAGTCATCTATTTTATATATTCTCTGCCAGGTAGTATTTATTGCAAGAAACATCCGCAAGATTGCTCCAATAAAACTGAAGCATACTGACATCTGCACACTTTTGCATGTAACATTAATGAAAAGAGAAGCTAGTATGCTGCTTTTAATGGAAGCAGTCTGTCCAGGATTGGGGAAAGTGCCAGTGGTCTAACATGCTGCAGTTACTTTATACCTTACAATCACAAAACAGTAATTTTCTTTCTTATACTGCCTCTACTTTCATAAGCCATCCACCTAGGCTGTCAGCGCTGGTCTTGGCTGCCCCTCCCAAGTCTGTTCTACGACCTGTGCACCCATATGTTTCCCTCCTAGAACACAGCAGCTCTATTCATGTAATCAGACTACCCCTTACTGAAAAAACATCCATGTAAGTACAAATTCCTCAGTGTGTGTTGACTTGTTCTGCTCTATTCTTTCCAGTCTACTCCTACCTAATGTGTATCCTACAGCTGCCACTCCTGTATTTCCTGTTGATAAGAAGCTAGTTAACATCTTTGTTCATTTCAGACCCCAGAAGTAATTCTACTTTTTTATTTGTTCCTTTTAACAAATTTCTTTCTATTCTTTTCTTTGAGTCATCACTGAAGACAGGAAAACAATTCTGATTTATACTGTCTGGTGTGTTTAGTCCAGGTTTAACAGAAGTTTATACAAAAGAAATTTTTCAGCAGTCATGTAGAACTTGATCACTGGAGCCCTGCATTCAAGAGGTGGCTTTTCAAACCTATCGTCATTTCTAATCATTTATGCACATCTGTGTACACATACTCTTCCCTTCATGTCTCATAAACGTGATTATTTTCCTGATAACTTCCTGCTATTCCCCCATCCTCTGATTCCTGTAGTAACCAGAATTTTCTCAAACAGGATTTCCCCTACTTTTCCTGCAGAAATCCAACTACTCATCAAATCTTTCCCCCACATCAGCTGTTGATCCCGTTTTCCCAAATGCAGCCAGCCAGGACACAGAAATTCTTGTTAGTTCCTTAGATCCAACAGTCATTATAAATGATGCCATTTCAATGCTGACTACAATTAAAACTTCACATAAGTACTTTCGTCTAGTGCTGCTCTGCCTGCACAGACGTGGCACTTCCGCCTAGTGCAAAGCCCAGCACAGCTGGGCCACACAGCTGAGCAAAGACAGCACTTTAAAGGCACTTGGACCATCAGGAAGTAGATCGTGACTTTAAAGACTTGCTGTAATTTAGTAATAGTTGAAGAAGAGGAAAATAAGAAGGGAACATGCCTACTTTTTGTTGTTATTGTTTGCTTTTTAGGTTTCTCTCCAAACTAACTGAAAGGCAGATTCACTTTATAATACAACACCAGCTGGCTGTATATTTAGTTTATATAAGATTCCATTTCATTTGGATCTTGGTTCCCACACTGGATAATAGTAGGAAAAACCTGAACATCATGACATGCCGACTAGCCCATAAGAAATACTGCACAACATATGAAATAAAAGCTTTTACCACTGCTTTTACATCAACTATTACAGAGCAAAATGTGGTCAAAATTATCCTGTAACACTTGGCACATCACAGAAGTGGGAGAAACACATACCAGCAGAATCAGTGGGCCCAGTAATTTACAAATTTGCTGGGCTTGAAGTAAGTCATATGGGTAGCAAGGACGAAATAAAATACAGAATTCAAAAACTAAAGGATATATTTACCATCTTTAGAAATGGTGGGTTGAGGTTTTCACTTTTTTTAATGGCAATGCAGCATGATGAATACTCAGTGTATTTTTCCAAATGTGCATTTTCAACCCTTATTTTTCATTCTTAGGATCCCTTGCACAGAAATTCTCACATAGAAGCAGGGAATATACAAGGTTGTTGCTTTATATTCTGAGGGAGACAGTGTAAAATTACCACTTACCTGAGGTAATTCTGACAGCTGATTTCCATCCAACCAGAGATCCTTCAAATGTAAGAGAGCGCCAATTGATTCTGGCTAAAACAAACAAACAAAAAAATAATGTCATGGTGACAAATATCCACTTTTTAATCCTGCATTAAGAAAGATGGATTCCTAATTAAACAAACACTAGGTACCATGGCAGATATCTGCTGAAACTTCTCCAATATCTTTCACACAAATGCCCATTTTCTCCAAGAATGTTAGTCATATCCACTTATGCCCATCATCTCTAGTCCTGAGTCTCCCCATTCCTGAATTACAACTCTTAATTATGAATTAAACTGTGCCTAAAAACCTGAATGTAGAGTTGCAGCTACCAAAAGGAGGCTGGGGGTGGGGGAGGGTAAAGAGCAAAGGGGAGAAGGGGGTTCACTGTGGCAAGGATCACTGGTGATGTGGTGGTAGGTAGTGTGATGACTGACATTGACAGAGGAGTGAACCCAGACGAATGAAACATACACTGCTGCAAATCAACACATTATCTCACTAAACATAAAAAGAAATGAGTTAAATTATGTGAACTAAAATACTTCAATTCTTCCAAGCGATCAATATGTAACTGAGTAAACACTGGTTTGTAAGCACACCTAGAGAGATCCCCTCCCAAATTGTGTGACCACTGAAATAGTTAAATTCAAATCTCCCTTCAACACAGACTTACCAAATTATATATTTCATTGTTTCCTAAATCAAGTTCTTCAAGTCTCCGGAGTTGGGTAAGAGAGCTATAAAAAATAAATAAAAAGGAGCTCTTTGAAATCAGAAATGCAGAGTAATATAGTATTCCTCAGTTGAACTAGTTTCTAAAAATAAGATTTACTTGGATTTAATGGTAAACACTACAAAGGAAGGGCTATTAAGTGGAGGCTGGCAATGCCAACACTTTCTCAGAATCTCTTTTTGCTAAAACACTATAATGTTTGTTGCTGTTGTTGTTTAATGTTTAAAAAATTCATTCAGTACAAAATTCCCTCCTTGTTTACCCCAGAGACTCACTCAGGAAGATATGTAAGAAGATTCTCTCTCAGTTCCAGTGAAGCCAGGTTATAAAGACTAGAAATGAACAGAGGAAATGGTATAAGGAAAATTCCCAAGATTCTCCCTATCCCTGCTACCCAAACACACATTTTACAGCAGCAATTCTTAATAAAACCTTTCCTATCAATTCCCAGGGATAAATATCTATGACAACCACCAATAACAATATAAAAAAATATATAATTTCCACCTCCCAAATTTTAATGTTAAATTTTTTAAAAGAACCATTACTATACGGTACCTCATTCAAATACCCTGCACATTTGGGATGTCAAAGTAATCTGCTAGTCACTAGGAAACAACCATTCCTGGAACAGAGATAGACACTGGGTAATGTGCTTCTAGATGTTCAAATGTCAAAAATGTGCTGATTCCATAAAAAAGGCAACGCCTTTACTCTTCCAGAGCCCATAGCTTTTCTTCCAAACAAACACCAGTAAGAGGCCAGCCCTGTTGGACAGTAGCATCTCAGTCTCTGCCTAAGATCAAGAACTCACAGAGCACAAGGCAGCAACACTATGGAAGTAACTGCCACTTAGATGCATTAGAGATAATGCCTGAAACAGACAGGACCTGTCAATATATGGTAGCGAAAATCACGTGACTTTTATTTTTATTAAACCTCAGAATGGCACTCTTCTCGGCAGACTGTCCTGTCTCTCGGGTGTAATCCATGTCTGTTAGGAGCAGTGAAAGGAGACAGATGTTCTCCCCACTCACCGCTTATCGGGTCAAAAACCTTGACAGGCAGTGGCAATTCTGCATCACCAGAAACTCATAAATGCACACAATGCCAGCAGTGGCATAATGTGTTAATTTGAAAACAACTGAGTGGTGTATTATTCAAAAAGACCCTGTACTGAGCACCATACCAACCGAAAACTCAAGCTTTTGCCAACAGCAGCATCCAGATTTGGAAGATTTCTATTTGTAGAGAACACAAGTAATCAGACATTATTATTTTAACACTTATCACTCTTAATACTCCATGCTCCTTCTAACATAAAAGCCAATGTCATGAATACTAATAAAGCTGGTTCCCTAACATCTAAAATGTAAGTTTCATTTGCATGAACAGTATATATACAAACCAAAAGCCTTTGTGTCTGAGAATATATTTTATTACACTATGCTCAGATTCTGTATGTCCTCCAGTTTTAGAAAACAATAGTTTTCACCATTAAAGCAGGAGCAGACAAAATTCTTGGTTCTAGTCTATAAATCAAAATCTCCACTAGTAAGTAGTTATCAATATTGTAAAATACTTAAAGTAATTATCAATACTTTAATTTTAAAGTAATTGTGTATGACTTAAAAACAAAGAACTTTAAACTTCCATGTAAAACCCATCAGTTTTATCAGAGAGAAGGAAATCATTTGGTAAATCATTTCCACATTTGTGTTTTTAAAAATCACTTACAGAATTGTCATTTTATCTATTCAACTTTCACTACTCTCATACCTACTTTGACAAACTCAAGACAACCATTAACAAAAGGAGGGATTTGAAAAGCCCTCTTTCTTTCAAAAACTTCAGTCATTGGGCATCATCTTAAAAAGTCGCCATCCACAGGTCTGGCTGCTAAGTGTCAAGCCAGGGAGGCAGACGTGGTCTGTGGCTGAAGACCTAAAATAGAGAACGAGTGAGCAACAGGGCCACCTGCCACGCAGAGCACCCCTGTGTCACCTCACTTAGTTGAGAACAACCCAGTATACTGATGACTTGATGATACCCCATAACACAACTAGGGAAGTGAGGTGTGTGAGGTCCATTAGAAAGCAGCAAAGGCACAACCCGAATTTGGCCCAAAGCCCAGTCTCCTGCCCTCATGCTACACTACTTTGAGTCACCTCAAGTCTCCCATTCTCTGGAACTCTCTTTACAATATATATTTTTAAACACACTTGTCAGTTTTTTTCAGTTCAAGTAACACTGGTTTGTAACATTCTATGTGTGTAGGTGTGACCAACACCTGTATATTATGTTCACCACCAGAATTCTAGTCCTATCCATCACAACAGAGTTGCTCCCTTTTACCTGGTTTACTCATCCCCTCCCCTCCCATTTTGGTAATCACTACTTTTTTCTTATATTCTGAATATTTGTTTGTTCTTTACGTTTTTATCCATTGTGTAATCACCTACATATAAGTGAACTCATACAGTATTTGCCTTTCTCCATCTGAGTTGTTTCACTTAGCATAATATGACAAGATTCCTTCCTCCCTTCCTTCCCTTCCAGCAGAGTAGTATTCCATCATGTATCCAATCATCTGCTGATGGGCACTTATTTTCAACTTAAGACTACAGCAAATAATGCCTCAATGAAGGGGGAGGGGAGCCATATTTGTCTTTGAATCAGTTTTTAAAAATTCTTTGAATCATATGGCATTTCTATTCTTTCTTTCCTTTTTTTTCTTTTTCTTTTCTTCTTTTTTTTTTTTTTGGATGATTTAACATTAAGAAAAGTACCTATCAATTCTGGGTAAATAAATTTTACCTTCTTAACCACAGCAAAGAATTTTGTGAACTGTCATTTTAAAAATACGACACATGGGCCCTCCCCGATGGCACAACCAGTAAGGACACAGCACTGCAAGCTGGCCCAGTTGCTTAGTATGAGTTCAATCTCTGGCCCCAGAGGTGACCCACATGGAACAGCAGACCTCTCTTGTCTTGTCCTCTGCTCCCCTCAACAGTACAGTTCACCAATCTGACTATTCTGCGCCTATCTGTCTCTGGTGAATGCTCTCCCAGCACCTGCAACTCTGGCCTTTACCCCAGTTCTGTGTGCATGAATAAAAAATTCTTTAAAAAACAAAGTGAGGCCCTCCCTGGTGGTGCAGTGGGTTAAAGCACAGCACTGAGAATCTAAAGCCGCTTCCGCATGAATTTGATTCCCGCCTGCCCTGGAGGTGACCACATGGTTCGGCAGACCTCTCCGGACCCGCCCTCTGCTCCCCTCAGCAGTGTACTTCATCAATCTGCCTGGTCTGTTCCCCACTCTGTCTCTGGTGAATCTTCTCACCGCCCCTGAGCCTCTGGCCTGTACCCCAGTTCTGTATGCACAAATAAAGTAAAATAAAAAAAAAAAAGTGACACTCAAGTAAGAGGTGAGAAACCTGAGGCCAGCCACTCAAGTTCTGGCCTGATCCTCACTAATTAGCTGGATTTGGTATATCACCCATTGTACCCCAACTTTCCCTAAGATAAAATAAATATAACCATATCTATCATGGCAGTTAGAGCCTAATATATTTCCCCTGCAAGTTAACAGGGCCAGTTTATGCCTTATTTCTATCAGACAGCCTCTGTCCCTAAGCACAGTCTTCTAGCTTAGCATCGTGATCAGGGTCCTCTGTAAAGCCTACTGCAAGATGCCATTAAACCCTGGAGTCATCTCCACTACAGAAGGCCTCCTTAAAGGACCAGAGCTGCTACTTGTAACCAACCACACAATGCCCTTAATTATCTGTGTGCTGACATGAAACAGAAAGCAAAGAAACAGTTTGACAGCCAACTCCCCCTTCAAAGTTAGTCCAAACCTTAGGGTATGGTCTAAGCTAGTCAGCTGATGTAAAGGAAGCCCTGCCTGAAAGGTATAGACCAGAGGCATGAATACAAAGTTAAACAAAAACAAACAAAAAAAAAAGTTGAAAAAATAGTCTTCCTTCCTAGTCTCTCAGAATATAGCATGTTCAACCAAACTTCAGGACTTGTCTGCCCCCATCAAGGGAACATCTTCAATTTGACTCAAACATCTCTGCATTTCTTGCAGCACCTAATTAGAAACACACTGCTAAGAAAGGGTGGCGTGAGAGATTTGAACATAATTCCATCTACTTCACAGGTCAACTCCATAATCACTGGGTCGAGCAAAACAAGGAGATCCAAAAGTTAGACATTTGATATGCAATATGAGAATTACTGGTCTTTAATATGCCTCCCACTAATTATGATACTGGCAGTTAAATGTATTACAGATATTGTGGTAAAAGCGCTACAGGATTTACCTTTCTGGAGGAGAAAGAGAATGCACAGAGAGGGAACCTAAGAAGGTCAAACATCCTTGGTGATGGACAAAGTCAGGATTCACTAAGGAATCTGCGTTTTTAATCACTCACTACCTGCTGTCAATTTTGTGAGCAGGTAATTTTTTAAAGTAAAATAGTGTTAATATTAAGTACCATTAAATATCATTTAGTCACCTATCCAGCTTCTGTGGTACCACTGAGATCCTTCTTGTAGGAGATTACCATTTTTTGTTATTTATTCATGTATTTAGGTAGTGTTCTTTTATGTAAAGACATAAAACATGAATATATAATTTTATCATTCTCTTTTTTCATACAAAGAGTAACATTACATACTATTTGCTTTCCTCAATTCACAGAATTTTGTCTCATACCTTATTTATATATAGAAAGCATTCTGTTTTTATAATTACATGCATAGTTCTTGCTGTATATATATATATAGCTAAACTTTTTTTTATTCATTCCAATATTAAGAAATATTTTATACTTCAATTTTGGTTTCCTGAAAATTAGCTTTCTGTACAACAGTATTAGAATGACCTCCTCTTGCTCCTACAGAAAAAAAAAACAAAACATGGTTTTCCATTCTCTCTGTAACTCCCACCATTTCTAAAGCAAAATGGGGTTAAAACAACAACAATTAATAAGCTCCTGCAGGAAAAGAATGTGTTGAAGCATTTCTTCTTAGTACACCAGTACACTAATGTTTTACAAATTCACGATAGCAGGAACAAAAACTGTATGTACTCTTTTATAAGTCAGAATGTAGGCCAACTGTATTTTTAGGATTCTATTTCAGAGACTGGATAAGTGGTTACTTTAAGAATTTACATCTGTTCTCCACTATATTTTTTTAAATGCTTTTTAATCCATGTGGATTTTTTTTTCCATTTCATGGCCAAACTCATTTAAAAACTGAAGAAAAAATAATGTAGCCCAAGCCAATGGCATTACATTATAAAACCATTAAAATGTGACATCTATAACCATTTATGGCAACAATATTTGATGGGGGGAAACGATATTGATGGAGATAGGAGGACTTACTTACAAATTTATAATATTTCTGCTTTTTTTTAAAAAAGATTTATTTATTTGTTCATACAGAACTGGGGTACAGGCCAAAGGTGCAGGGACGGTGAGAGGCTTCACCAGAGACAGAGTGGGGAGCAGAACAGGCAGATCGACGAAGTACACTGCTGAGGGGAGCAGCGGGCAGGTCAGGAGAGGTCTGCCTCACCATATGGATCACCTCCGGGACAGGCGGGGATGAAACTCATGCGGAAGTGGCTTTAGTTTCTTAGTGCTGTGCTTTAACACGCTGCGCCGCCAGGGAGGGCCTATTTCTGCTCTTTTAACACCAAATTAGTACTCTTATAAATCTCTGGCTACAAATTTCCTTATGGTGACCTTGCCCCTACAATTTTTTTCTGAAAATCTTGATTGTGTTTTGAAACAATATTTTATACCAATTCCCAGGCCTCAACAAAAACAATGAGTAAAGCAACAATTTTCAAAAATAGGCTTTATTCCTTTTAGGCAGCATGCACCTGATACAAATTGGTAAAAGCCTGCACTAGACCTTATGAGTAAGGGCCACACCTTGTCCAAGAACACTCAAAATAAATTTAGGTAGCAGACACAAAATCAGATCCACGTGCTTGACTTGAATCTGAAAACCTAGGACTTGCTCTACTCTAGCAGCAAACTCATAATTAGATGTCTACTGACAGGAACCTTCTTGTGGCTGACAACTGTTTTGTGCACTGTAGCAGTCCATGACATGCATCCCTTCTCTATAATGCTATTTTTTTTTTAAGAGGAAACTTAACTGAGTAGTTATTTAGAGATGCTGGACTGACATTTAGCTACGTTTTACTGCTTTTTTTTTTTTAAGTGGGAGAGGGTTATTAACTTCTTTCATGAAAAAAGGATATGAAATCTCACAGCTGTAGTTACATAAAAACAAAGCAACATGCCCGACAGAAGCATAGGCTTCCCGAGCCTCAAAATTCTCTTATCAGTTTCCACTTTCCAATGGGGTTTTTGTAACCTCCCAACCTTCACTCCCACTGTACATTATCTGGATATTTTAGAGACCCTGGATATTGGATACATGAACCAGTACCCACATACCAATAATTAAGAGACAATAAACTCAGCGCATCACTCATAAAGCTGTTTTACGGAGCACTTCCTGTAAGAACTAGGTCAGTTTTCCAGGTATAATAGACTCTTTCAACAGACTAGCTCCAGGGCTGCCTAGAGTCCACTCTTATTTTCCATTGAAATATAATGCACATGCTATAATCCTTTTTTAATGTGTACAATTCAGAGGCTTTTAATAAACTCAAACAATTGTGCAATCTCCAACACTAATTGCAGAAAATTTTCATCACTCCCAAAAAAGAAATTTCATACCCAAAAGAATTCATTTATTATCCTCATAGTGCTCCAAATCCCACCCCAGCCACTGGCAACTACTATCTACTTCTGTCTCTATAGATTTACCTATACTGGAATATTTACATTAAAAGAATCATATGATATGGAGCCTTCAGTGCCTGAATTTTACTTAACATGCATTCAAGGTACATCCATGAGGTGGCATGTGTCCACTGTATGGATATACACTTTATCGGTTCATCAGTTAATAAAAAGTTGAGCTGACTCCACCTTTTCATTATTATGAATAATTCTACTATGAACACTGGAGTACAAGTTTTTGTGCAGACATGTTTGCAGCTTTCGTGGATACATATAGGTAGGAGTAGAATTACTAAATCGTATTAATCATGTTAAACTTTTTGAGGAAGATATTGCTACCTCAGAAGAGACTGTTAATTTTACAATTCCAGTAACATAAGAGGGTTTCAATTTCTCTGCATCCTTAGCAACACTTGGTATTACACATCTTTTTTTAACATAGTCATTGTAGTGATCTCTTAGATTTCATGTGAATTTTAGGATCAATTTGCCAGTCCTTACAAAAAAATTAAAAGTCAGAGTCAGGTAAGATTTTTCTGGAGGGTTGAGTTGCATCTATAGATGAGATTTGTGAAGTCATGCTCTCTTATAGTATTAAGTCTTCCAACCCATGAATCCAAAGGCAATATACATGCCTTTACATTTACTTAGGCCTTTTTTAACTTCAGCAATTTTTGTAGTTACTGATGTACATACCTTAAATTTCTGTAAAACTAATTCCTAAGTATTTTATTCTTTTGGTGCTTTGTACATGGAATCGTTTTAGTTTCATTTCTAGATTACTAAAATGCTCATATACAGAAACACACCTGTCTTTTGTATACTAATTTTATGTCTATATTTTGTCAGATTCATTTATTAGCTCTAGCAGGTTTTGTGTATTCCTTAGAATTCTCTATATAAATTATGTCTACCTGCAGGTAAACTCATTTCTGAAAAGTAAAAAATGCACTGAGTAAGTTACTGGAGTAGAAATTACTTGAGTAAAAATTGATACAACTAATCTCAAGAAAAATGTTTTCAGTATTAATATACCTTTTAGGAAGACATTAATACCAGTATTGTACCAATACTGAGAGATAGCTTAAAGCAAAAATATCCTTCCTGACTTTAATAATGAAATCTCCCAAATGTTTTTAGTAAGCATCAAGTTCAAAAGTCATTGATGAGAAGATATAGTTTACAAGGGCATATCTGAAAAAACAATTTTATTCATATTGTTTTCTTAGAGTTTATCCAAGCCTTTCAT